TCTTTCAAATTAAATTCACAGATGAACAGTGCATTATTTTCACTAAGAGCAAGCAGTCTGGGCTTGTCTGTTGGTGTCCCACTGTTATGAGAGTCCTCCCATACAAACCTAAGGAAAAAGTTTAGACTATTTATTATATTCTATATCCACAATAATACTTACCCACAATGGTGAAGGTAGGACAGAAGAAGTAGAGAACAACTCTTTGGTTCACCTAATAGCATTACTTCTATATACAACCTAAGGGAATATAAACTGCTCTAGAACTTCCAGCCCCTTGAGGGCAACACAAGAATATAGGAGTCATGTGTGAAAAGGGGGCAAAGAGCAAGAAATGGTGGCTGCTTTTTTCCTTCATCCTAAATCTGGACTGATGGTATGTTTAAAGGAGCTGTCATGATCAAGGATATGTTTCAACAACCAAATATGTCTATTATTTATAAGAGGTGGTCTTCACAATTAACAAAATACGTTTTGCTAACATAAGTGCTTTGAATAACTTTAAAAAAAGAAAGTGATTATTTGCATTTATAGACTTTGAAGACTCTAAACTGGCATATTATACAACAGCTCTGTCCAACGAAACTTTCCATGAGATGCAAGTGTTCTACACATTTGCAAAGTCCAATACAGTAGCCAACAACCTCATGTGGCTACTGAGCACTTGAAATGTGGGTAGTGCAACTGAGGAACTAAATTTTCAATTTAAGTGCAGTTATAGAATATTTAAAGCAGTGTAAAGTCAACATACCAACATGACTAACAAGGATGGAAAGAGGCTAATGATGCTACAGCTTCAAATTAAATAATAAAATCAAGTTACATTAAAAGAGAAAAAAGAGAGCCCCAATGCTGAAAACAATGCAATGGAATGAGATGAGGTTACCATGCTGATAGTTTCCTCTTTTAAAAAAAGCTTTTTTTCTAGAGAAGTAGTAAGTTTTATATCTAAAAACAGTGGACTTGGTGCTCCTATGTTATTATTAGAAAAAAACACTGACATTTTATATTTCTGTCTTTATACCTAGAATGATGTTTCATAAACAGCCAATTCCTGACTGTTCACACTGAAATCTGATGTCAAATATGAAAAAGGTTAAACAAATTAAGATATATTTAGAAGGCTGAATACTGTGAAACCAGTAACATCATTAGTACATGGGACTATACTGCCACGTGGAAAGAGAATTTTCAGTGAACATAATACAGAATGTACAGTGACTTCAACAACATACAAAGGACCATACATACTTTGAGAAAAGGAGGAAGCAAATTCTGTACACTATAAACTTGTCCTTATTTTTACCCTACGAATTATTTTAACTGAATTCAACTAAAAAAACTAAAAAGTAGCCCTTCTTGATCCTCCCCCACTAATTTCATGCTATAGCTTACAAAAGCCCCCATTATTTTATGTCTGTTCTGCTTATCTTCTGTGAGGTTCTCTCTCTGCCTCATTCCTTTCCTTATATGGCCGTGTTCACAGGTACTTAATACTGTTGAATCAACTAACTTATGGTAAGGAGGGATTCCTTTTTCTAGCAACTAGAGATCAGGAATAAAGAAGACAAACATAAAACAGGTTAAAACATTCAGTGATTGAACAAACGAATCTCTACTGTGAGGCACTTTTATAGGACCTGGATATTCCAGAGCTTCTCTGTGGCTACTCAAAATCGTTAACATTTCTAAAATGTTTTGTTATTAAAGAGTCCAAAGCGTCGGAAGGCACTCTCAAACTTAATGATGTAAACTGTAAGAGTTACATATGTGGAAAGTAATATATAATTGAAATTGTTTCTTTTCTGTCTTCCCAACCATACAACCTCACATGTAAGAACTGTCTTATTACACCTTTTAGGCACTGCTCCTAGGTAACGAACAGAAAGCGCATAATAAGTATTTGTTGAGTGAATACACAAGTAAGTGCGTAGAAAACGCAGGCTCTGTCCTTGAAGGGGGGTGGAGGGGAGGGGAAGCCCAAATGTGAAGGAAACAGCTATCTGTATCAGAGATAAGGAAAAGGTAACAGGATGATTCAAATGAGAGATGATGCCCCTCAGCTGGCATCTTTAACAGATTTAACTGAAGAAAATGGGCGTGGGGCACTGCAAAGTGACGATTAATCAACCTGTGTTAAATGAATTTAAAAAGCGTCCAAACTGGGATTCATTACAGGTTCTCCACGTCCGGAGAGGATCTGGATACTGTCTCCACCCACCCGGAAAGGGAAATGGGTGCAGGGACGCGACAAACCGAGGAAAATGTTCCGAGAAGGAACCGGGCCTGCCTCTAGAGGCGTTGTCCTCCACCGTCATCCCTCTCCCGCTACCTCCAAGGTAGGAGGGGAGCAGAGGCGCCAGCCAAGCTAAGGCTGCAGACTCCCTCCACAAGGCCAGGCCCGGCCACAGCACTTACTGCCGAAAAGGGCCTTCCAGGCGGCAGCCGCCCCCGCCCCGGCCGCCGGGCGCCAAGGGAAGCACGTGAAGGCTGCCTGCAGCCGTCAGGCTCCCCAGAACCTCCTGCTCCCTGTGCAACTGCGCCCGGGATCCCAGACGCCCTGTTGCCTCGGCGGGGACCGGCACCAACAACACGGGTAGAACCCGCTCCACGGCTTCAGCGCTTCCAGCCCCCTTGTCTGCAGCCATCCCGCTCGCACCGGTCCTTCCGGTCCCTACGGCCCGCTGTGTCCTGCGCGTGCGCAGTGTAGCCGACCCGCTGTCAGTCTCGTGACTCCCGCGGGGAGATATGCGCTGACGTAGTCTGCCCGGTTAAGTTCTCCGCACCACCCACTCCAGCAAAGCCACAGCTGCCTTTGTTTCTAGCCCACGGTTTGCTGAGAGAGTTGAGGGCCTCCATTAGCGGCTTAAGGTGGCTGTAGCAGCTGTTCTCACTCTGTAGCATTACCCTTTGCTTTCTTTCCCTTGCTGCCTCCTATCTATTGGAGGCCTGTGCCTGCCACTCTTCGCTTTTCTTATTGGGCTGTTATTTTTGCTTACAGGCCCTGAGTGGTGCAACGTCCTTGGTATTTGACCGATCCATGATGAGGGAGCTGACTTGATGCTGACATCAAATAATATCCATTGTAACAGCCAGGGGAACAGAGTGGGTGGAAGTGGTAGAGTTCCTGTTTCCTACTACTCTTTCCTCTGGGAGGTATAATCCAAGATCGGCCAGCAGAGGGGGCGAGAAGAGGTGGGGAGTAGGCATTTTGGAATGGTCTCCTAAAGGACAGCAGTGCCTTTCTTAACACATACCTTTCCACAATCAGATGGCGTCACACAGCTATCAAAGGTCACCTCCTTTGTCTGTGCTTTGATTCCCATCCTCCTCCTGTTGTAGGACTTTGTAAACTTTCTTCGCCTTCATTACTCTCCACCCTTCCCCGCCCCGGCCACTTTATGGCAGTGCTTTCATTATCATGCAGGCATGCTGTAATATCACTCTTTAAAAGAAAATCGTTCCTTAACCTACATAGACTACTACCTACTGTCCAATTGCTCTGCTACCCTTTCAGAAGATTCCAAATTGACTCTTTCTGTAGTCAGTGCCTCCCTCCTCTGTCACATCTCCTCATTCCACACTCTTTTTTAAAAATATAAATTTAACTTTTGGCTGCATGGGTCTTTGTTACTGTGCGTGGGCTTTCTTTAGTTGCGGTGAGCCGGGTCTTCCCACTGCAGTGGCTTCTCTTGCTGCGGAGCACCGGCTCTAGGTGTGCGGGCTTCAGTTGTGGCACGTGGGCTCAGTAGCTGTGGCTTGCAGGCTCTAGAACACAGGCTCAGTAGTTGTGGCCCATGGGCTTAGCTGCTCTGCTGCGTGTGGGATCTTCCTGGACCAGAGCTCGAACCCGTGTCCCCCTGCCTTGGCAGGTGGATTCTTAACCACTGCGCCACCAGGGAAGCCCACACACTCCTTTCTTAAAGTACTTTCTTTTCAACTTTGGTAGCACCACTTCCGTAATTTTCAACCTATTTTTTTCAGATAACTCCTCCTCAGTCCCCTATGTTGGCTTTTCTTCCTACATCATCTCTTCCTCACTCCTAACTTGTAATACATCTGTGTGCTGATACTCCCACTTTTGTGTCTTTATCCCTGACCTTTTCCTTCACCTCCAGACTGCTCTTCACCTACTTGATATATCTACTTGGATTTCTAACAGGACATATTAAAGTGTCTAAAATGTTGATTATAACCCTTTGCAATGCATTTTTCCTCATGTGTTCCCCACGTTAGTCTAGGGCACCCACCATTCACTCTGCCTGGGAGTCATCCTGGATTCTTCACCACCACCCTTATGCAGCCCATCAGCAATGTCTGTCAACTCTTACTTCCAAAACCTTTTCCAAACTTCTCTTTCTCTCCCTAAAGCTCTTCAATTCTTGCCCCAGCTTTGGAAAAAGAACTTCTGAACATTTTTTTCTCTGCTTTCTATCCTGTTGCCCTAACAATCTGCAGTCAGAGTGATCTTCTCAAAACAAAATCACGTATGTCACTTCCCTGTTTAAAATTCTGACTTCCCAGCAGTTAAAAATCCAGACTTTAAAAAATAACCATGGCTTACAGATGTGTACTCTGCTTACCTCTCTCCTACCTTATCGCCCTCCCCCCTTACCTGTATACTTCAGCCACACTGTCCTTCTTTCTTTTCCTGAAACACACCAAGTTCATTCTCACTCTGGGGGCTTTGTGCTCACTAGTGCCTCTGCATGGAATACTTGTCATTGATTCCAGCTTAATTGTAACCTCTACTGACAGGCCTTCCATTCCACTCCAGTCACTCATCCCCCAGTTTTGTTTTCACCGTGGTATTTATCACTATTTGATGTCTTCTGTCAGTCCCTGTCCAATCAGAATGTAAGTTTCAGAAGAGCAGGGGCTTTTCCTTGGTCACCACTGTTTCTCAACCACCTAAAATGGTACCTGGTTCATAAAAGGGACTCTTGTGTTTTTTGATGAGTGCATGACCTTGTTTGTCAAAGTAAACCAAACATCCCATATCTCAAAGGAAATATTTATATAAAACACTCTTAGCTCAGCTAGGGCTACTTATAAAAAATGGCAACAGTGGAACAGTTTCCAAGGTCTATTGTTAGACATAACAAGGACTTGTCCCTTACATTAAGGACACTTGAAGCTTCACACATAGGAGATATAATGAAAGCCGTTTTCTTAACTTACAAACAAACTGCCACGCTTCATTCTATTATCTTTTTAATTATACCTCATTTTGCCATGCCTTTTTAGGCACATAGTTCATAGTTTTTGAAGCATAAGAAAAGGTTTTGGGCAGGGTTCACCAATATATCAAGGCATACAACTGTCTTCAGACTCTCTGGATCGCTTTAGGCAAAACCCATACACAACTAATGTCTGATCGTTAAACTCTTCCCACATATACGTATTCCGGAACAACCTGATCAGTAGATCAAGGCAAACCTACAAAGAGAAGAGGTGTTAACTCCAAACAACTTCCCTTTAAAATATTGTGTGACGTGATTAATATGTCTCTTTCCAGCAGATGGTAAGTTCTGAGAGATGACCTACATGTTGTTTGTATGTTTACATCTTATTTACATTTGAGTTGTCCCTCAAATACTTCTTTAATGAAAAGTTCATCTTCTCAAACTAGTTCTTACCCTCAGATAGCTTAGCATGATAAATAATCAAAGTTCCTGGGAATAAATGGAAAGATTTGGCTGAAGAAACAGGCCCCACGACCCTAACTTGGAGCAGACTGGTTACTCAGTAAGTACCAATGTCTAGAAATACTTCTAAAAGCAAGTTATCCTCCCTACTCTCGATTTAAAAGTAGTAGAGGGCTTCCCTGGTGGCGCAGTGGTTGAGAATCTGCCCACCAACGCAGGAGACACGGGTTCAATCCCTGGTCTGGGAAGATCCCACAGGCCGCGGAGCAACTGGGCCCGTGAGCCACAACTACTGAGCCTGTGCGTCTGGAGCCTGTGCTCCACAACAAGAGAGGCCGCGACAGTGAGGGGCCCGCACACCGCGATGAAGAGTGGTCCCTGCTCGCTGCAACTAGAGAAAGCCCTCGCACAGAAACGAAGACCCAACACAGCCAAAAATAAATGAATACATAAATAAATAAAGCAGTAGAGAAGTGACAGAACCTAGTCTGGGCTTGAATAGGGGGCTATGACCTTGTTTCCACAGTCACTTACTCCATCCTAGCCTCCAGCTGCTGTACCAATTGTTTGTCCACATGGTGACAGAACAGAGGAAGAAGGTTGCTGGGGAAGGCCAGGGGTTCTGCCAGAGAGGCTGTGGGCATCTGAGCTATCTCCCAGGCAGTGAGAACTACCATGTCTGTCCTGGAGGGCAGAGAAGTAATACATCAGCATCTTTGTATGCACGCAGGAAATAGGCTCAGGGCCCAGGTTTCTTATTGTCTTTCTACCACCACTATCACCCTCTGTACCTCCAGCAACTGAGAGAACATTTGCACATTTGGTATGTGCCAGGCAATGTTTAGTGCTTTACACACATCTTCCATCTCATTTAATCTTTAGATCTCTAACTGGTTAGTATCCTTATCCTTAGATCCCTAGTTTACAGATGAGGAAACAGGCTAAGGAAAGTAAAATAATGTGCCCCAATGTTATGTTCCTGATAAGTAACAGAAGCAGAATTCACACCTAGGTCTGTGAGTAATTAAAGGGACAAGCTTTAGAGCCTACCTTACACTGCCTTCCATGGGGGACAATGCTCTAGGGCACTACAGAAAAAAAAAAAAGGGCAGAACAGCTACAACTCTGTTTCTCTGTCCAACCTCCTCCCTGGTGCTTGAATAAACCACTCAGGAAACATCTCATCTGGCTCAGCCTATACAACCCAAGGGTACTGAAATAGTATTTAGAAGGCTTTTATGATCTTACCAAGCTGTGTGGTCACTGCTGGGTTCCTCTAGGGAAGAATCCAGGGATATCAGCTGTTCCCCATGACTTAGCAGGGCATAGAGCAAAGATATTCCAAACTGCAAGTGATAAAATATCCAGAGTAAAGTTAGTTTACCCTAGGCATTCAGTGCTTCCCTGGCTCTGATATTTCCCAACTAAGAGGGCAAGTTCACAGGTACAAATGGAGTCCAACACCCATAAACCCATCAAGTTTTATACTGGCTGGCCAAGAACTCTGAGCCCTTTCCAAGGAAACCACTGCTCTGAATAGTCCAAAAGATTCCTCTGGGGAGTTGATGAAATGCACACTTGTGGGCTCCACCCCCGGAATCAGAGACCATAGATCAGGAACAGACCCAGGAATCTGACATGGGTAGGCTGTGGAGCCCATTTTAAGAGGCATTCCTTTAGGCAAAGATCTTTAGAGGGGTTCACAAGATAATCCACTAGGTTATTAGAAGATATGAGATCTTGCACATCTAGAGTCTCATCTTGTATTTATTATGTACCTAAGGTAAGTATAGTGTTCCACGTACATGATTTATAAACACACACAGGTGGTATAGTTCAGCAGTTTTCTGGTAAAAGGGATTCACTATCAAAAATGTTTGGTGACTTCTGATCTAGAGGTGATAGCAGCACCACCATCAGGGAGCTTGTTAAAAAAGCAGCCCCACCCTGGGTCCATTCCAGATAGTACCCGGAGCCACCTGTGGAAAGACAAAAGCCTCCCACGCGTGTTACCTGATTCTGCAGCACCACAGTGACTGGCCGCTCTGAGTAGCCGGGTGGTTGCAGCATGAGTCCCTGAAGTCCTTGGAGGAGTTCATGGAAGGTCAAGCGGCTGATACATTTGCCCAGAGGTTCGAATAACGTTTGCAGGGCCTGCAAGAAGGTCAGTAAGGGCCTCTCTCTGACTCCTCGACAACTTCACCTCTGGTCTCTTTCCGTGCTCACCAGCCTCTGGCCCCTTCTGGTCAGGTCAGACCTACCAGGCCTATCACCACTCAGGTGTCTCCATCCCTAACACTGGTCCTTCAATACCCACTTGTCTAGGATGCCTTCCCTAAGCAAAGTAGCTATGGGGCTCACCACTTATCAGGGGGCCCTGAGCTTCTCAACATCCAGAGCACATTCACACCTGTGTAACCATAGGCCTGTGGGTTTTCCTTTCTTCATTTGCCTGAAGATGATCAGCTGTTCCTGTGGTAGTTTGTTCTGTAACCCCCTCACCTGAGGGTAGCAGGGTCAACACTCCTCACTGCCCAGCACATTCTCTGGCTTCTCTGGGGGAGGGGATTGGAAGGAGGAGGAAGGGGAAGAGGAGGAGGAGTAAACATTCCTAACCCATCCACAGAACTGTCCTCTCCTCCACTCGATGCCACAGTACCTGATCAGCCACATCCCTCTTGACAAGGAGGGGCAGATGGCGGGTGATGGCCAGAAGAAGGCTGACAGTTCGATCTCGGGGCAGAAGGGGGAGCAGCCGGGCCACTAGGGCCTTTCCCTTCCTCACAGAGAGCACCTGCAGGAAGCCATCCGCTGCCTCCCTACAGGTGACATAGGAGAGCATTGCAGGGATCCGCATAGAGCAAAGGGCCACAGGCCAGAAAGGAGAGGCAGAAGCTAAGCCACTGTCTTTGCTGAGCCGTCCCTTCCTGGGCTGAGGTGTGACCCTCCCACACTCACTCCAGATTATTCTGTTCCTGGGTCTTTAAGGCCTGGAAGAGCTTCTCAAGCTGGTTGCTCTGCTGCTCACAGGGCTGTGCGGGCCCATCCTTCTGGCCCTCCTCTATCTCTAGTAACTGAAGGAACAGCTGGGAATGTGAGGGTGGGGAGAGAGGAAGAAGGGGTCAATGTGAGTATATCCTGTTCTCAAGGGAGGTAAGGAATTCACTGCTAAGGCTGATGTCTCACCTTCTCAATCCGGTACAACACCTGAAGCCTCTGACTGCTTGCAGCTCCTGTCTCCTAGAGAAAAAGTCCCTGGCTGTTAGCCACACCTCCACAGCAGCAGCCCAAGCCTAGGTGAGCTAGAACGTGATCTGGAAAGGCTAGACCACAAAGCCCGATCACTCTTGTTCCTCACTCTTAGGTCACGACCTGAACTCAAGCATAAGAGTGTTCCAGACCTTTCTCCAAAACAGGGGAGAGAAAAAGGCTGTAGGAAGATAATGCTCCTACCTGCTCTTGAGTTCCATGGGGCACAGCATCAATAGCTCGGCGAGGGCTAAAACACGTTGATACAGCTACCTGGCCCAGGGAACCCTCGATTCGAACCACTGCATGGAAGGAGTCAGACAGGCACATGCCCCTCTGCTTTCCACCTGTGTCTACCCGGCTGTCCACCCCAACCCAGCAGGTCAGCCCCAGTCCTACCTGACTCATAAGCCTCCGCCTTCTGAATGTAAGGTGTGACCAGCTTGAAAGACTCAAACCTGCTCCTTCGCCCAAGCAGCTCTTCATCTGCCTGCTTCTTCTCTAGTTTCTGATAATATTCCTGAGAGTCCATGGATTAGTCAAATGCGTACTCATTGGCTGAACTTAGAGTTAGGGCTCTGCAATGCAGCCTCTTAATATACCCTTGCCTACAGCATTCATTCCAGAAATGCTCCTGCCACCTTAGGGCCTTATAGTAGCCACTATAATGCATCTTAAAGCACCCTAGGCCTCATGCCACCTGTTTTAGGGTCCCCATCCTAAGGACTTGAAGAGCTAGTACCACCACCAGATCTGATGGAAAGGCAGAGAGCAAAGCAGAGAGCCAGGAAGCAAATGTGTCCCAGGGTCTGCAACCTTCCTGCAATCTTAATTCCAGGTTACACATGGGACACCGCTATCCTTCCCCCTCCCCATTTTAATTTGGTGATCCTACCTGTGCTCTCCAAAATCAGTTATCTGATGGTACAAAGACCAATCAGCAGCTTGAAGTACAGAGAGAACACTACTTCAATTGGCCTCTAGGCCAGTTCTACGCTTGTGAGGATTTGTGCAGCAGCTCTAATATCTTAAGGAAGACTGTGAAATCCAGAACTAAAATAAAGCCACTGACTGAGAGACAAACAAGAATTTAAATACAGCTCCTTCATTGAACAGCAATGTCTAAAAGTCAAGAGTGGAAGATGATCACATTCAAGCAATCCTGGCAGAAGGCAGAGGGTTTTGAAGCTGGTGGGAAGTAAAGGAGGAAAGTAATGTCAATAGGAAGGAGATAAAGGTGGAAACCTCGGTAGGGGTCTCATGGAGGTTGAAGAGAAATTGAAATACAACTTAGACAACCCAAAACTCATGGACAAAGGGCGGACAGGAAGCAAACAGAAAGGAGTCCAAAAGCCTGCCAGCATTTGTTCAATTCAAGAAATTGAATCCCATTACTTATAAAAGTTCCCTGTGTTTTAGATCTTCAAAAGTAAAAAGTAAGTAGATGAATGTTTAAACAAGTCATTTCTGAGAGAAACCGAAGTGTACAAAGATGAAAGAGTCCTCATTTGCCAACTGAATAGGAGAAATTCTCAGCAAAGGACAGAGACAGAAACCTCAGAGTGTGTTTGGGGAATCATAACTAATCCCATGTGGCCGAAATTTAGAAGAAGAAGGGGAAGGAGTTTGGATGTCAAGTGTAGAAATATGACCCCCATCCTTTAGCAATCATTCCTCCCACCTGAAGGGATGTGGCCACTGTAAGGGGAAGGGAGAATCTCAGAGGACCCACGGAGTCAGGCCCATTTGACGCCAAGGTCAGAGGCTGGGCAGAGCCCCTGGGGCTCACCTGGTAGTAATAGTCATCCAGGCGGGGGTTCTCACTCTGCAGCTGAACCATCTGCACTTTTACCACCCAGTCCTTCTCTTTTCGGGTCATGAGGTTAGCACAGGGGTCTGGCTGCTGAGACCAAGGCTTCTTGGCTGGGGGACTTCAAGCCAGGAGGAGTGTCCCTTTAGACCTACCCACCCCTGCCACAGAGAACTCCCCCAAAGAGTAGAGAGCTCGGAGCAGGATGTCGGGGGAGGACAGCAGAGTGCAGAGGTGGGTCAGGGTGTGAGAGGCTTAACTGGTGGGGCTTTGGGGGAGGTGCTCTGTCACAAGGGAAACCCCAGCATGCAGGGGGGCCCCCCCTTAATCCTGCTTCTCCTCTTGGTTTTACCTTGGTGGTCGACCATGCTGCTGCTGTTGCTTCAAGATCCGCTGGTGCTGAGGGTGGAGCTGGGTCAGATGACTGGAAAGATGTAGAAAGAAACTTGGGCTGGGTGGGAGCAAGCTCTCAGCCCCCCGCCCCCATTCCTTTAGCCTCTGGGAACCTCAGCCAGACATCTAAGGGACCCTACCTGCTTAGGACCCTGCCCAAGCGTCAGCCACATGAAGCATCACTACCCTAGCTCAGCAGGGCTTACCTCCCCCTCCAGGATATGGTTTTCCCTGAAACTTGGCTACAGGAAATCCTGACACAATATAAAACCATTTGGCCTGGTTGTCAGGACTTCTGAGTCCTACTCTCAGTTCTGTCGTCCTGGCTGACCTCATATAGTCCCTGGGCCTCCATTTCCTTACCTGTGAGGGGAAGGAATTGCACTCTACCACATCCTTCTCTTAGTGAGTTTCTCTAAGTATTTTCTGTGGCAGCTGGTAGAGGGGCAGCCATGCCTCCTCAGCCACTACCTCCTGAGACTTCTGGAGAAGAGCTCAGCCTGTCCTGGACCCTGGGACACTGGGCACTCTGAACCAGTACCTGAGCCTAATGGGCCACGAGGTCGACGGGCTGCAGAGGACAGATGGGTCTGGCGAGGGCAGTCGAGGTCCGAAGTGCGGGGCTGCAGTGCTGGTGCTGGGAAAGGCAGGCCGGAAAGGAAGTGGTGCCAGGTAGTCCAGGGTCTGGGAGAGGAATTTCAGGGTCTGGGAGAAGGGCATCTCCACCAATCCTGATTTTGCTGTTGACTGCCTTTCTGCCTCTATGGTCTCACCTGCCTTTTCCTTCAATAACCTCACTCAACATTTTGCCTCTTGGGGCCCTTCGAGCCAGTTGTGAGGACGCCAGCCTGTGGATCCCGTTCTTGTTTTCAACAGGTCTGTCACCTCCTAGGGAGCAACTCCACGGTCCCCGACAATGTGGGGGCCTGTGCTTTCCCCACTGTGTGTGAGTCAACTCCCTGCCCTTTCCTCTCTGAGCGTTCACTCAGATCTTGTCTTTAGCCACTGGGGCCATGCTTAGCTCTTTTCGGACACCTCTGAAGCCCTCCTCAGTCTGCAGTTCCCTTCTCTTCTCGCTGCTGGATTTCTGGCAATTGCTCTACCCCAGACCATATGCTCCTTCTAGCACTAGGCTCAGTGCCGCTTATATTCTGTAAGATGGAATAGTTTGTCCTTTTCATAGGAAGGCCAGTTGTCCCAGTACCACCTCTGTTGTTTACCAAGCTACCCCGCATAAGAGGCATTTCCCCCTTCCTACCCACACTTCACTTTGGGCGCTGCATCTCCAGAGCAAGGTCAAGGGCACAGTGAACATAACGGAAATAAGGCACAGGCGGCATGCTGCTTCTCAACACCCAGCCTATTTCTCACAGGATGGAGACTGGAGTGACTCACCTGCCACAGAAAGTGCAAGGAAGCAGGCGACATCCCCAGCACACCAGGGGCCTTGATTCCAGGGGAGCTGAGAAGACCTTTCTGGAATGAGAGGGAGGAAACCCCAGGCTGGAATGAGCCCCTGTGGTATCATCTACATTCACCTGTGTTAATGGGGGGAGGGGAGCAGCAGGACCAACCATTTCCAATACCCAGGACAGCGGCAGCCTGGCCCTCCCTCAGTTTCAAAGTCAATACAATCAGGACCCCTCTCCTTCCACTGAAGGGAAGCCAGACTGGCATCTTAGGAGTTAAGCTGAAGCAGGGTCTGAGTAACTTCATTTCTACATGGGACTCCTTTGGGTCTCTCCACCTGCTAGGGGAATCCAAGGGAATAAAGACCAGGGATGGACTGGGAAGACATAGGGGCCCAGGGTCAAAGATGACTCGCTTTCACCACCAGGAGCAGGGCCGTGCATCTCTAGGTGATGCACGGCCCTGCTAGGACCTGGATTCAGGTAAGGGCAGCATCAGAAACTAAGTAGTTGACAGAAGAAAGGATGGAAGGAAGGAGAGAGTCTTTACTGGGGTTCAAGCCTGAAATAGAAAGTGTTAGCCCACCTAGAAAGGGGTGAAGAAGAGGAGAGAGATGTGTAGCCACAGCCTGTGAGATGCAGACAGTTCAGGACAACCCTCCCCCACGTCTTCCTGCCGTGGCACCTGGATGTTACGGACAGCGCTCAGGACAGCTGGATCCCCGAGATCATTCTCTTCCTCCTCCTCTTCCTCCTCCAGGTCAGGGGCTAAGTCTGGGTCCAGCTCCTCCTCCCTCTCTTCTTCATTTTGTTCCTCTTCCTCCAACTGGGAGGCACACACCAGCGCTTCCTTAAGAGCCAAGGGGTCACAGGACTTGCCTGGGCTTTGGTTTAAGTGGGTGCCTGAGGAGGAAGTAGACAGGGGTTCAGCTGGGAAGGGTCTGGTCTAGAGAGGATGCTTCTCTGTAGCACTTCTGTTCACAAGCCATGTCCAGCACCATCTTGAAACATCTTCTCTTGTTCTATGAGTTCAACTCAGCCTCAGTACCCCAGGGCGCCTCTAACCATCCCCACTAGAGCAAACAGAACCTGGCAGGTGCCAATCACTTTCACTTTCTTCATCCCCTCTTCCATTGCCTCATTAGTCCCACCACAGGCTTCTCCACCTGCTCACCTCCTCTAACAGCCCTTTCTGTGCCTCTTTGATTAACCGAGTTCCAGCTGCCCTGACTCATGACAATTTAACCTTAGTGGGCCAGGGATTTTTACATCTATCTGTTCGTTTAATTCTCACAACAACCATACAAAGCCGGTATTGATCATTTTCCTCTGAAGGTGAGGAAAACACAGGGCCCATAAAAGTTATCTCAGTCACCGTCATGATGTCGCTGGGAATCACTCCAAACCCATAGACATCCAAAACCCATGTCTAGCCACTGAACCAGACCATCAAACTGCCACACTCCCGGGCCTTTTATCAGATACCACAGACCACTTGGTGATACTACCTTTAAGGCATTTCATCTCTTCGGGCTGGCAGACTTGCTCCATGGCTGTTTCCTCTGGCGAGAGAGCATTGTCAGCCTCTGGAAGGTAAACCTGGGAAAAGGAAGAGACCCAGAGAGCGTGTCCTGGGTAAGGATAGCATGGCACCCAAACAGCCAAGGTCTTCCCCCAGCAAGGTTGTCAGAAAAGTTTTGACCCAGATCTCAAGGAGCAGGACCCTGGGCTCTCAGACTGCCCTAAACCTCCACCCTCTGACCTCACTAGCCCAGCTCTAGGGAGCTGTCCTGCAAAGGGACAGAGAAAAGGAGCAGGGCTAGGAATTGGAGGTCACCACCAGCCTCGGTCTGTGCACAGGGAGGGGGCTCACAGCGGCCTGGGTGGCGACACCCACCCCAGGACTGTGGCTATCCTTTCTGCTTAGCTTAGCCATGGCAGCCTGGGCCAGGCAGGCTCGCAGCCCCTGGCTTTAAGATTCCCAGCCCCTCCCCTGTTCCCCTGTTAAAGGGCCAGCATCCCCAACCACTGCAACCTGGTAGAAATGTCAGCACACAAACTCATGAGAAAGAAAACCCTTGAAAGGGCAAGAGAATTAAAGTGCATTTTTATCCATCCATGGTTGTAAGTACAGTTTGTTGGGATCAGTATTGGGGAGCAGATATTTAAAAAGAGGATCCCTGTTTTCCACACCCTTAATAGGAATTTTGTGAGGTTCTTTTCTCTTCAATCCCTAAGCTTTGCTCCATTAACTTGGATAGGAAATCCCTGGGTGGATCTTGAGGCAATTACTGAGCAGCCAAGTTCTCAGTGCTTCAGGGCAGGGTGCTTGTGGATCCCTAATGTCCACCTGGTGATGCTTGCCCTTCACCGTGTCCTTGAGTCCGCATGAGCTTGAGTCTACTAAGCACTCCTACTGAGGAGGGACCCCTGAGAATATAGAAGCCAGATCTTCGAGGTAAAAAACACTTTTGCATGAGTTACACAGATAATCCCATATCTTCTTGGCTGCTTGCTGTAAGTGGAAAACTGGTTCAGAAGCTCAGGACTAAAAAGAAAAGGAAACAAAAACAAGCACCCCAGGAGTGCTGGTAGCAAAACCTGAGACCCATCTGCGCCTCATCTAGCCCCTCAGCGATTCTGGGTTCTGTGCCCACATCCTGTGTTCAGCTGAAGCACACAGGCTTTACAGAACTTCTGAATAAAATTAAAAATGAAGGTAATTCTCTAAATTAAAAATGCAAGTTAGGGCCCTATTGTCATGGTTATAGGGCCATGATTCTTGGTGCCTCTAAAGAAAAATATTCTTTTCAAAAGTTTTGCCATAGGTAGAACCATATGGGTGAGGGAAAAAATTTAAATAGCCTGAAAGTTATTGAAATTATTTTCAAATATCTAATTGGGTTCAGGCCTTTTTGGTAATGCTATTCAGCTGTTTCTCTCAATAACTCCCTAATCATTTACCCTGGTATTATTATCAAAATGGCCAAATGGTGGGCTTCCCTGGTGGCACAGTGGTTAAGAATCTGTCTGCCAGTGCAGGAGACATGGGTTTGAGCCCTGGTCTGGGAAGATCCCACATGCCACGGAGCAACTAAGCCTGTGCGCCACAACTACTGAGCCTGCGCTTTAGAGCCTGTGAGCCACAACTACTATGCCCGTGTGCTACAGCTACTGAAGGCTGCGTGCCTAGAGCCTGTACTCTGCAACAAGAGAAGCCACTGCAGTGAGAAGCCTGCAGCACCACAACGAAGAGTAGCCCCCGCTCGCGGCAACTAGAGAAATCCTGTGTGCAGCAAAGAAGACCCAACACAGCCAAAAATAAAAATAAATTAATTTTTTTTAAAAGGGCCAAATGGTGACTTTCAGGGTTCCAGAAGTGATTTGTCAGGTTGTTATAGAGACCAGGTGTTGGGGGAGATTCAGTTGCTGTTTGCAGAACTTTTTTTTTTTTTTTTTTTTTGGGGTCCGGGGGCCCCCCCCTGTTGTGGCCTCTCCCTTTGCAGAGCACAGGCTCCGGACGCGCAGGCTCAGCGGCCATGGCTCACGGGCCCATCCGCTCTGCGGTATGTGGGATCTTCCCGGACCGGGGCACGAACCCATGTCTCCTGCATCGGCAGGTGGACTCTCAACCACTGCGCCACCAGGGAAGACCCAGAACTTCATTTTGAAGGCACTTCCTTGTACCAACTAGTACCAGAGCAGGTGGACTAGGGGTAGTCTGCAAGATTACAGCCCTCTCTTGGCTGTTTGAAGTTTCACTTGGGACCTAGAGCCTTTTGTAAAAGTCCCTTCCCCTTTTGAAGTCTTATATGTCTACTGATCCTTTAGATTTTCTAGCTTTCTGCCATAGTTTGTGCTAAGTTTAAGCCAAGCCTGTGCTAGCCTTGAGGCATAGGCAGTGAATGAGCCAATGCTACCCGTGGACGCTTAGAACTTCCCATAATAGAATAGGAAGTACAGACAGCTTAACAGGACTTTTGGATCAGATAAAAGATATATTAGAACTGTATAGCACAGGGAACTATATGCAGTATCCTGTGATAAATCATAATGGAAAAGAATATAAAAAAATATGTGTGTGTGTATATATATATATATATAGAACTGAATCCCTTTGCTGTTCAGAAGAAATTAACACAGCATTATAAATCAACTATAGTTCAATTTAAAAAAAAGATACATTACAAAGGTTGGGACTTCCCTGGTGGCACAGTGGGTAAGACTCTGTGCTCCCAATGCAGGGGGCCTGGGTTCAATCCCTGGTCAGGGAACTAGATTCCACATGCATGCCGCAACTGAGAGTTCACATGCCACAACTAAGGAGCCTGCATGCCGCAATTAAGGAGCCGGCGAGCCGCAACTGAGCCCGTTTGCCACAACTAAGACCCCATGCAACTAACTAACTAACTAAATATTAAAAAAAGGAAATGTTTACATTTGCTGAATAAAACACCTAAGGACTCTTCCACTTTTATGGGGAGATTTTTAATCCATTATTTCAGTTTCTTTAATGGTTGTCAGTCTATTCTGGTTTTCAATTTCTTTTTGAAGCTGTTTTGTTCAATTATATATCTTCTAGGAATTTGTCCATTCCTTGTGTGAGTTTTCAAATTTATTGGCATAAAGTTGTTCATAGTATAAGAGTATCTTTCAAATCCATGCTATACCTGTACTTTGTCCCCCTTTTAACTTCTAACATTATTTATATATTATCCCCTACTTTTTTCTTTTTCCCAGAGTCTATATATTTTATTAGTCTTTTCAAAACATCACACATAAGTCAGGGTTTCTGCAGGGATAAATAGGACACTGAAATTGGATAATTTTAATAAAATTAAATTTATTAAGATAGAATTTTAATAAAAGGATATTTATAAATGTATAGAAAAAATATAGTGCAATCGTAAGGAATAGTACAGTCCCCTGGGACTAGTAACAGTTGGTAGTAACCACTTTAGGCAAGAGAATGGAGTGTGGTTACCAGAACCTGGAGACCAAAGTAAATTCTTATGGAGCAAAGTTTTAAATATTAAAAAAAAAAATTAAACCTCAAAAATATACAAAGAAAATAGTGTAAAAATTTCTTTTTAAAAGTGGAGTGAGTAGAGAAAGCCCTTCTAACCATGACCCCAAACCATAAGCCATGAAGGGTGACTGATGAATTTGCCTACATAAAAATGTCCAGCTTCTGAGTGTTCAAAAATAAAGCCATAAACAAAGAGCCATAAACAAAGTCAAAAGAACTTTATTTTGATGTGGTAATCTTATATTTACCTTTAAAAATTATTTAAAAGGGCTTTTAGGTGAAGATTCTCTGTAATGTTTCTGAATTTTGAGGACTCAGAAAAAGAGATATTTATGTTAAACCCAGATCCTTTTATCCATATTTCCTTCACAACTGCTGGTAATCAATATTATCCTATCAGCACCCATGTCAAAATTAACATAACACTGTTGATGTATAATATAAAAATAAGAGAGCTATTTTCTCTCACATTTACTTTTAAAATCTTATCCTTAATTATGGGCTGAATATCTTGTAACAGAACATTGCATCCTGTGGAGACTGAGAAATCTTTTACCATGTTCTCACTTCTTCAAAAGGAAAATTCGTCCTAATTTAAATAAATATGACTTTGTATTTTTAATTAATTATCGAAATGTGTCTTAATCCATTTGAGCCACTATAACCAAATACCAGAGACCGGGTAGCTTATAAACAACAGAAACTTATTTCTCACAGTTCTGGGAGGCTAGAAGTTCAAGATCAAGGTGCCAGCAGATTTGGTATCTGGTGAGAACCCACTTTCTGGTTCACAGATGGTGCCTTCTCACTGTATCCACACATGGTAAGAGGGATGGACAAGGGAATTCTCTGGGGTTTCTTTTATAAGGGTACTGATCTGATTCATGAGGGCTCCACCCTCATGACATAACCACCTCCCAGAGGCCCCCTTCTCCTAATACCATCACCTTGGGGGATGGGATTTCAACATATGAATTTGGGGGGGGACACAGATATTTAGTCCAAAGCCATGACCTTTGAGGAATATAGGCTAAGGATATAAAACGACTATTTTTTAACCGATATTTTATGTTGAATTGCAATATTTGGTTATAAAAATCTCAAAAATGATATTGTTTCCCAAAACTATGCTTCTATTTACATTATAGGACAGGTGCATATGTAGACAAAGAAAAATTGAGACTTTGTTTTCCAAATCTATATTCAATCTATAATCAGGTAATTCAATTTCTGTGATTAATCTGTAATTCTCACATCTATAAAGAAACTCCTGGTTAAGAGAAACTTTTAAAAAGAGATTGTTGGGTGCTGCATTTAGTCTCAATGTTTGTTTGTTTATTTATTAAAAATTCTACTTTCTTCATTTCAATGTTCATTCATTTTATTTTTTTAATATTTATTTATTTGGTTGCGCTGGGTCTTAATTGCGGCAGGTGGGCCCCTTAGATGCGGCATGCAAACTCCTGATTGCAGCATGCATGTGGGATCTAGTTCCCTGACTAGGGATCGAACCTAGGCCCCCTGCTTCGGGAGCGCGGAGATTTATCCACGACGTCACCAGGGAAGTCTCAATGTTCATTCATTTAAATCACCTATAATATTTGGAAAATTTTTTCACCTTAGGAAACTGCAGTTTAGGGTTTCATGGAATTATACCTAAGCTCTAAAATATTTCTGTTACACAAAATTGAATGAATTACAATTGAATAAATAAGATTACATAAACAGACAAAAGTGAAGATTTTCCTTTCACATTTAAATTATATTTGTTTTACACGTAAGACTGCCTGAAAACAAGTTGGAAGAGACTATTAGTGACTGTGACAGTTTATTGCATTTTTCAGCATCTTTTTTGTGTGTGTGTGGTATGTGGGCTTCTCACTGTTGTGGCCTCTCCCGTTGCGGAGCACAGGCTCCGGATACGCAGGCTCAGCGGCCATGGCTCACAGGCCTAGCCACTCCGCGGCATGTGGAATCTTCCCGGAGCGGGGCACGAACCCGAACCCGTGTCCCCTGCATTGGCAGGCGGACTCTCAACCACTGCGCCACCAGGGAAGCCCTTTTTTTTTTTTCATGTTAAATAGTTGGGAGTATTAAGTTCAACTTTCCTCCTTACTTTCAAAAAGATGGATTAGCATAAAACCTGAATGGCTGACAGTACTACCATGACCATTAAATTGTTCATGGATCAGAACTCAACTCTATCAAAGTTGCTTCCTTGTAAATTTTGATCATGAGTTTTAAATGCTCTAAGCAGAATGTGGATATGACTACATTTGCCTAACCGTGATTTGATTCTGATGATGGTTCCAGGATGTCTTTTGGTTTCATATCCAACTCATCTGTGCCTATATTTTCTCCTATGCTTGGTCCTGTTCCCCCATATTATCCAGGGTTAATTCAGAGGGAGTCACCTTTCAGAAATGGTGCTGAATGTATATTCACCAACCTTAGTGTCCACCATGCGTACTCTACCTGATTTTCTCTGTTCATAAACTGAGGTTTTCATTCCTGGAGAGGCAAGATGATAATCAATATCTTTTCCTGCTTTATCTGAAACGTGGTAGGTGATCTCCACTGAGGTGAAAGTCACTGTACAGAAGAGCTGAGGCTAGCTCAGGAGCAGGCTGGCTCTTGTCACCCATCCTGTTGGAAGAGGTGGACTCATCCAAGTTGTCTGAGAACCTCCAGATAGCGGTGTCAATTGTCCTCAGAGCTGGGAGCATAGTCAGAGCACGGGAGAGATCCAGGTTGGGCTGCAATCACTTTCTGAACACTTGTGGGCCTCTGTGTCCTCAGTACCCTCTTCCTCCTAGTGTTTTATTTTGAAAATTTTCAGTCCTACAAAAAGTTGAGAGAATAATAAAATTAACTTCTGTGTATCTTTTACTTAGCAGTTGATAACATTCTGCTTAGCAATATTCTTTATTTTTTTATTTTTTAAAATTAGTTAATTAATTTATTTTTGGCTGTGTTGGGTCTTCATTGCAGCCCGCGGGATTTCTCTAGTTGCGTAGAGCGGGGGCTACTCTTTGTTGCGGTGTGCGGGCTTTTCACTGAGGTAGCTTCTCTTGTTGCAGAGCACGGGCTTCAGTAGTTGTGATATGCAGGTTCAGTAGTTGTGGCTTGTGGGCTCTAGAGCGCAGGCTCAGTAGTTGTGGTGCACAGCCTTAGTTGCTCCGCGGCATGTGGGATCTTCCCGAACCGTGTTCCTTGCACTGGCAGGAAGATTCTTAACCCCTGATTCACCAGGGAAGTCCCGCAATATTCTTTAAATAAATTCCTTCTCTGCTACATCAGGCAGTGTCTGTCCCAAGTGATCAGGGACTTTGGCTGACAGACTGTGAACAGGAAATTCACAGAGGAAAAACCAATAACAAACTAAACATGTGAAACATCTTAAACATTTCCTCCTTGAGAAAATAATTTCCCCAGATGAGCCCAGTGCCCAGCACCAAGCAAGGTGATAGTAAAGGTTTGTAGAACCTGAACGATTGCTGTGAACACTGAGGCCTGATGGATAGGCTGGGGCCAGGCTAAGAAGAAAGAAGCCAAAGCATTGGGGCACCTTTGTCGTGGGGACTAGAGGGCTCCTCTTCTTACTCTCCTTCCCTGTTCAGCACTGGCAACAGCAGGTACAGCAGGAGTGGTTTGGCCCACTGGGTGCGTGGTGTCAGAGAAATAGTCCAGAAATGTCAGGGCCAGCTGGGCCCACATCACTGGGGCTGACCCAGCTCAGTCGGGGCAGTGGTAGGAGGGGGAGGACCAAGGCTCCTGACCAAGCCAGGCTCCAGCAAAACTCCTGCCCCCTCAGCTGCTGAGCTGATGATAGCCCTCCCTCACACGAGTACCCAAAATGCGCTGTGTGGCCAGATCTGGTTAACCGACAGGTAAAGACAGCATTGAAAAGGCAAATATTTACACTGAGCTAGGCTCCTGGCAACCAAGGCCCAAAACTGTAGGATTCTGCAGCAGTACGAAGGGGGTTTGTTTCTTTTTTTCTTGCTGCTGTTATAAATTACCACAAACCTGATGGCTTCAAACAACACAATTTATCATCCTACAGTTCTGTAAGTCAGAAGTCCAACACAAGTCTCCTGGGCTTAAAATTAAGGCAGGGCTGCTTTCCTTTCTGCAGACTATGGGAGATTCCATGTCCTTACCTTTGCCACCTTCTAGAAGTTGCCTACATTCCTTGACTCATGCTCCCTCCTTCATCTGCAAAACCAGCATGCTGCATCTCCCTGATCGTACTTCTGTAGTCACATCTCCCTCTGACCACAGCCAGGAAAGTTCTCTGCTTTTTTTTTTTTTTCCACTCAGCGAGGCATGCAGGATCCTAGTTCCCCAACCATGGATCAAACTGGTGCCCCCTGCAGTGGAAGCTCAGAGTCCTAACCACTGGACCACCAGGGAAGTCCCAAAGTTCTCTGCTGTTAAGTTCTATGTGGTTACACTGGGCTGATCCCAATCATTGCTGATAATCTCCCCATCTCAAGGTCCCTAACCTTAATCACACCTGCAAAGCCCTTTATGCCATGTAAGGTAACATATTCACAGGTTCCAGGAATTAGGCTATGAACATCTTTTTTGGGGGGGAGCGGGGGAGGCATTAGTCCCCCTACCACAAGGTATGGTAAGGAGAAAAGTATAATATTGTTAATGATAAGTAGGCAGCTCTGTACATAACGACATGGATAGTATCGATCATATATTATGAAATGGAAATAAGCAAGTTCAGTAAGTATTTATAGAATGATCCAAATTTTGTGGAATCTCCCTTGCCCCCAATAAATGCTGAATGAATTCTCTCTGAGCCGCACCCCACCGTTCATAGCCTGGCTTCTTCGGGGAGATGGTGGAGCCTACCTCACCCATGCAACTCTCAAGGCACTGGTTTCTTCACAGCCCTCTTTTAGGAGAAGAGTTTAGAAAGGTCCAAGACACCAGAGAGTAGAGGAAAGGATCTGATGCAGCTTCAGCATAGCAGGGGACAGCCAGAAAGGACCACACACTGCAATTGGCCAGAGGCAAGTGTCAGCCAAGCAATGTGGAAAGTGAGAAGGTGAGGCATACAGGAATTTGCCAAAAGGGAAAAAGGGCATTTGAAGGAGAGTCTTCGTTTTTAATAGTGCTGAATAGAATCCAAGGCAGGATAGAAAATCCAAATAGGAATTCTGCAGTTTTAAGTAGGTTCTGAGATGCAGACCCAAGGACCTATGAGAGGAAAACACCCATGAAAGGAGGCTGTGCTAGTAACTTAGTCACTGGGCGTAGCATTCCCCAGGGATGGTGTCCGATCCTTGGCTCCTGGGATTGTCCTGTTGTCCCCACAGTGTCAGCGGGTCTTGGCTTCAGCATTTCCCTAACGCTCTCTCCATCCAAGCTGAGGACCGATGCTACCTCTAACTCCGTTTATGCTTTTAGTGAGCACTGAGTTCTTAACACATAATAATAGCAGTCTCTGTAGTTATAATTTTAAAATTCCTCACCTTCCAAACTATTTACAATATATATCCATGAAGGGATAGGCACCAAAGCTTAACAATGTTTCCTGAGGAGAGGACAGTGAGATGGGAAGAGACACAGGAAGGCAACTTTCACTTTCACTCAGTAGACCTGTTTGTATTTTTGCAACAGACATACACTCATGTATCAGAATTGTAATTAAAAATAAAAAGTGCTTGAAACACTGCGGTTACTGCTGTTTATAGTTCTGTACTGCTTGATTTATTTTATACCAGGTCTGTGTGGTTTTCCCAATAAAATCACCCTGACAATTGGAAGAGCGTGGTGGTTACACACAAGCCTGTGAGGCAGAGATTCCTCACCAACGAGATACTTCACCTGTCTCAACTTTAGGCTTCCCACATACTCTCCCTCAATTAGTGAGAATAGTACTTGCCTTCCCGGGATCTTGTGAGATTTTTTCCCTTCTTTGTATGGCGTCTGACTTCGAAACTATCAGGAAACAAAACGGCTCCCCTCTGTGTCCCATTTCCTTTGGGTCTGTTTCCTGTTATGTAACAGCACAAATCTAAGAATTCAGTCGGCATGAACACCTTAGGTGGCTGCTAATAAATTAATTATTGGGCTGATTTGAACTCTAGATTGGATTCTCCTGGTTGGCAGTCTGGAATCTTCTGATTTATCCTTACAGTATTTCCATTTGCCACAAAGCCTGCACTCAACTGACATTGGCTGTATTCAATGGAATTTAGCACAGAAGACTGAGGATGCCAGCCCCAAAACAGATCTAACCAGGACTGACTTTTCTGTTAACTCTATTTTTCTAACTGAAGTATAGTTGATTTACAACGCTGCGCCAATCCCTGCTGCAGAGCAAAGTGACTCAGTTATACACAGAGACATGCTTTCAGGATGGACTTCTGAGCAGGCAACCACCTTCAGACTCATTAAATTAAACCATTTAACGATAGTTCTCTCTGGGTTGGAGGGTCACTGTGGTTTTAAATTTCCTCTTTATAGTTTTTCGTATTTGTAATTTATTTTTAATTTTTAAAAATTTTTATTTATTTATTTATTTATTTTGGTCACGCTGCGCAGCTTGTGGGATCTTAGTTCCCCAACCAGGGATCAACCCCTGGGCCCCTGCAGTGGAAGCTTGGAGTCCTAACCACTGGACCATCAGGGAATTCCCTATAGGTTTTTGATTGTTCCAATTTTCTACCACATGCATATATTACTTTTGTGGGCAGACAAAAACAAATGTGAGTTAAATAAAAACTACTATACATTGTGTTACTTGTTCCTGCTTGTCTGCACCTTCTCATATGCTTTTAATCGTTGCCCTGATCCAAGCCACCCAATGAACCGTTTCCCACTAACCCCTTCTCAGAAGTGGTTGTCTAGTGGACATTATGAGGCCTTTCGAATCACATGGACCAGCATTTGAATCATAGCTCAGAGCTAACGTGGACGAGCATCTTAATTCTCTGAAACTGTCTCTTTATCTGTAAAAGAAAGTATGACCTACCTTCTGGATTGTTGTGGTTTGGGTCAGCAGCTTCACAAACTTTAATGTGTATACGACTCACCTGGGATGTTGTTAAAATGCAGGCTCTGATTTAGTAGGTCTAGGATGGGCCCGAGTGTCTCCATTTCTAAGAGCTCCAAGGTGTTGCTGATGTTGTGATGCATGTACCACACTTTGATTAGTGACATAACATTTGAAAGAGCCCAGGCACAAATGCCCTACGTGTGTTTTTTCCTCTCCTTCCAGGGGGCCTGGATTTTCTGGCTGTCTGATGAGTTCACCCCCAGAAAAGTGCTGACTGAGATCCACTGAGGTGCAACCCAACTCATTTGAGCTTTAACCTATTCCTATTTTCTCCCCACTTCAGTATCCTTCTTTTGCTTTCTGTTCAAGGATTTCATTCTTCCTTGGCCTAACAAAGATACAGGTACCTGTGCTTTTAGGTTTTTTTGTGTTTTTTTTTGTTTTTGGCCGCACCACGTGGCATGTGGAACTTCCCTGCCCAGGGACTGAACTCATGTCCCCTGCACTGGAAGCGTGGAGTCTTATTAGGTTATTTTTTTTTAAAAGGAGCTTTACTGAGGTGTAATTGACATATGATAAATTATACTTAAAGTATACACTGTAATAAGTTCTACTACATGTATACACTTGAGAAACCATCATCATACTCAAGATAATGGATAAAGTGTCCTTAGGCTCCTGATGCTCCCTCCACCCTCTGGAAACCAACCATCTGTTACATAGATTAGTCTGCTTTTTCTAGAGTTTTAAATAAAAAGAATCATACAGCACGTACTCTTTTTTTGTCTTGCTTTTTTCCTTCAGCCTCATTATTTCATCCATTATTCTGTGTACCAATAGTTCACGCCTTGTCTATTCAATGATTTTTAAAAATTTATTTATTTTTGGCTGTGTTGGGTCTTCGTTTCTGTGCGAGGGCTTTCTCTAGTTGCGGCGAGCGGGGGCCACTCTTCATCGCAGTGCACGGGCCTCTCACTGTCGCGGTCTCTCTTGTTGCGGAGCACAGGCTCCAGACACGCAGGCTCAGTAGTTGTGGCTCATGGACCTAGTTGCCCCGCGGCATGTGGGATCTTCCCAGACCAGGGCTTGAACCTGTGTCGCCTGCATTGGCAGGCAGATCCTCAACCACTGCGCCACCAGGGAAGCCTCCATGCCTTATTTATTGCTGATAGTATTCCATCGTATGGATAGCTGTCACAGTTTGTTCATCCATTCGCCTGTTGATGGAAGTTTGGATTGTTTCCAATTTCTGGCTGTTACCAATAAAGCTGCTTTGAACAGTATTGTACAAGTCCTCATCATGAAAATACACTTTCATTTTCTCTTGGGTAAATACCTAGAGTGGAGTGGTTGGGTCATATGGCCAGCATATGTTTAACTTTTTTAAAAACTGAAACTGTTTTTCAAAGTAGTTGTACCATTTTTCCATTCCCAGAAAGAGTGTATGAAGTCCCAGTTCTTCCACATTCAGAAAATATTTACTATTATGAATAACATTTATTGTACAAAATTTTTTTAGAAAAGTCATTAGGCCAAGAAAACAATTCTGTCATTCATCCCACTAATGGGAGATAACACTTGTTAAAAGGTCATGTTTGTACATTTCCAGAAGTTTGCCCTCCTAGGCAAACAGTGGTCTCCTTTTTAAAAAACAAAACAAAAAAACCCTGAAAAAATATAATTTTCTCTGTCTTCACTGTTTTTTTTGTAAAAGTGTTTTAAAAACTGGTTTTCCAAGTGAATAGATCAGATTCTATCTTTTAAGAATTTTAAGTACTCCAGTATTTGTCTGTGATGTGGTAAACAAGGAATATAGAGGTGACCACCAGCCCTGTCTCTTCCTATGCTCCCAAGGCACTAGAAAACAATTCAACACTAACATTCCAGGCGTTAAGACCCTTAAATGAGTTAACAACAAACAAACAAACAAAAGGGAGGGGCAGGAGTGTCTTTACTCATAACTTTATGCCTAACCATTATCCTTTCATTTCGAGAGAGTTATAAAGAGCTGGTAGAAAAAATAGGTAACTAGCATAAATAATCATAGTATACTTCTTAATCATTACTGAACACTCCCTCTGTGCTCCCTGGGGCTCTCTCTGTGCATTATCTCCTTTCACTAGGTCTGGGGAGAGTATCCTACTTTTTCTAGTTTAGACACAACCACCACAGTAGGGATAGTTGAAACCTCTACAAACATGTAGAAGAAATCCAGATGACATTGGTTGAGCTCTTTGGGGAAGCACCACCCAACTCCCTTCAAGTGAAAACCAGGGTGATTTCCAAGATCTCTGCCCCTCCCCCTCCCCATGGTTCACTCCCTCTTCTGAGTGTTCCACTCAGAAAAGATCCCTGTTCTCAGCCACCAGGTGATGTCAGCATCTTTTTATGGTATCTCTGGAGTGGAGGTTTCCTTAAGGAGTCTAACACTGACACGCTCTAGAGTCAGTAGGCCTAGCTTCTTTGGCTGGGCCCACAGCAGATGCAACCCAAATTCTCACTAAAATTGCCCAGTCCTCTATCTTCCAAGTGTCTGAAGCACGAATGACAAATGAATCAGGCCCGTCTGAAATCTAACACTTAGCCTTTGTTTTCCTATCCATAAAAATGTAACGGGGTAATTCCTACATCCTAATATTTACTCACGTATTCCCTCGCATGTTCGCTCGTTCTTTCATTCGTAGGTCCATCCATCCATCCTTCCATCCATCCATCCATTCACTCATTCAGTCAGTTTACCAAGTATGTACTCCATGTCAAGCACCATTCTAGTGTGGTAATTCGCAGGGAATGATGTTCCTCACAGGGTCGGTAGTCTAACACTCTAAGCAGTTACTGCTTTTACCTTTTACTATCAGGGGTCATTTCCCCACAAATCGACAAAACAAAGAAAATTACCTAAACTACAGAGGCAAGATACAGGCCAGACTTTCTCCACACAGGGTTTTCCCTGAAGGGACTCAGGAAGCAAGCAGGTCCTCCTTCACTCTGGACGGTTCTCTGAGCTGTCCTCATGAGGCCTCGAGGTTTCTGGACGACTTTTCTTGCCCAAAGAATCCCGAAGCCCTACAGCGTATTTCCGGGCTGTAATTGTGAACCCAAGTTCTGATTCTGCCCAGTACCACTCAATCTCTGTCCTTACCCTCATTAATTTTTCTGGGCTTCAGTTTTCCCGATCGAAAACCAGGTTCTAGGCTCCTAACTCGCTGGGGCATGCTTGGGGAGCAAGTGCCTTAGCGTTTCTGATGCTGTTCCGAAAAGCGAAGGTTCCTCCAGACTGAAGCTCTCGGGTGGGCGGCCCGCGCCCCAAGCTTGGACGCGCACCCCTGATAAGAGGGCGCCGATGTACAGACAGCGAAACCACCCGGTTCAACCCTGCCTTCCTAAGCATCACGAGACTTATCAGAAAATGAAACTGAAAACCGGGAAGTCCCTCTTTCTAACCTGCCAGGGCCTCGCTCGCTAGGAGACCGGTGACGGCCCGGCGGGCAGGGTTCTGATTGGCGGCCTGGGCCTGGCTTTAAGTGCGGCCGCGGGACCGGGCCGTCACTCCGCCACCCGAGCTTCTCCTGTAGCGATGGCTCGTTTCGTGACCTTGGTCCTGCTCGGGCTTCTCTCGCTGTCTGGCCTGGACGCCGTCCAGCGTGAGTGTCCCCTCCTCCCTTTCCCTCTTCCACCAGCCCGTCCCTGTCCCGCTCGCAGCCACTGGGCACTAACTCCGTCCCCCCCGGTCCCGCTCCCAAGGTTCGGTGGAGTAGCATGCGGCTTTTTCTCGGGCTGTGGAGGCGGTGGGGGGGGGTGTGGAGTGGGGAGGGGGTGCGACCCCAGGACACCGGCTTCTCCGGGAGGGGGGGAGGGGACCTCTGGCACGCCCGCACCGGGTGGGTCGGGACAGAGAGACCGAGGTGGGGGAGGGGTTCTCTTCCGCTGGTTCGCGGGGCCTTTGGTTTCCCCCGCGCAGCGGGAGCTGAGGGCGGGCTGGCGGGTCCCAAAGGGCTGGGTTGGGGGCTGCGACTGGGCGGAGACCACGCGTGGGCTTTGGGGGAGTCGCCGCCAGGGTGTATCAGTCCGCTGGGAGCCCGAGGGCCTCGAGCTTCCTCCAGGCGCCCGCCAGGTTCAGCTGCCTCTCTGCACTTTCCCCAAATCCGCGACGACCAAACCACGGCGAGGAAGTTGCACGCGACTCTTGTGGAATGTCCTGAGGTGTTTACATAGCGCTTCACGTCGTTCATTGTCTTGTTCCCGCTACCTGTCGCTCTTAATAATAATCATAGAGCTACCCGTTGGCGGCTTACTGACCTGCGCTATGTGCTGTATGTCATTTAACTGTGAAATGCGTCTACGATGTAAACAGGATGCCTTTATCATCAGCTTGTCATAGATGAGGAAAGGGAGGCTAGAAGAGCTGAAGTAACTTAATTACGCAGGGGATTTATGGCAGACAGTAGAGCCTGACCAGAGCATTTGGGGGGTCGTGAGCCCTTTGCCTGTAATCCGTGCGTTTTTCACAGCCTTCTGGGGTGAGATTCTCCGGAGCAGGCTGGGCGGACATGGGCCCCTGTTGCCTTTCTTCACAGAGGGCTCCTCCTTTAGCTCCTTGCCTGGTTCTTTCCAAGATGAACTGAGTATGTACTTTCAGTTTTGAGTAAGCGAAGGTTTATCATTCAGAAAGGTGGTAAAACTAGGGATAAGAGCAATCAACATGCTTACCCAAGCTGTCTGTCAGGGACACCATGGATACTGACTCAGTACCTCCTAAATACCCTGCAATATACCGGACCCTCAGATTTTTCTCTCTCACAAAAGGCTCTGTGAAGCGGGCTTTTTTTTGTTTGTTTGTTTGTGTGTATGTTTGTTTGTTGTTGCTCATGAGAAAAAGGAAGTTAGTTTAAAATTTATTTAGAAAAGAAGCATAATGTGTGTATTATCACTATTATTGATATTTGTGGTTGCATATAGCTGTAGAAAAAAAGCAAGCCGACATTAAAAACTACCTGAATTTGAAAACTTCCTAAGTAATACATGCCTGCAAGATATACAAGGCCATTTCTGGAACGTATACAAGAAACATGTAATTGTGATTCCCTCTGGGGGATCTATTTTCTGCTCTTTCCCCTATGTGGGTTTGATTTCACTCTGGGTGTAGATAATTTTTCAATTAAACTACAGAAACTCAAATAACTCTCCCCCAAATCCTTAGCCAGTAAGTGGTTGAGGGCAGATTCAAACCCAGGCCTGTCTGATACACCTCCTCTTCTTAGAAGCCACTATTGTGATATTCTTCCAAAAAAAAAGAAAAAAAAAACCCCCACAAACTGCCTAGCTCCCTCAAAGAGACAATTCCAGGTGGGATGAACCTGTGCTCTCACTACTGTAGCACCTACATGTTGTAATTATTAGAAGCTCAAATGCAAAGAGGTTTCTGAATTATTTTCACTTTGAACTATGAAAAAATATCAGGGCTTCATGGTATGTCCAGTCTAGCTATTGGTGGGCCTAGGGACCTTTTCTTTGGTGATGGGACATTTCTAAACAGATACATCTGGTCAGAGTGGCCTGGTACTCCACCTTCTCTCTACCACTGGACATGGAGGATGAGCTGAACTTTATAATCTTGTACCCTGAGTGTATTTGTATTTAAGTGGTTATATACATATATTTATATCGGTCTGTATATTCAGTAGCAGTAACACTTCACTTTGGAAGAAAAATATAGAAATAGAGTTTATAATATTTTCTTTACACATCCCCATGGAGGGTCTAGACATGCATCCCATTTTGGAAGCCACTGTTCTGTAGCATTATGCAATATTCCCATCCTGGCAGATTATGGCAATCACTTGAGCATGCTGATTAAAAATACAAATTCCACTGTTACATGCATTACTCCACCTGGTCCTAATGGAGGGTATGTTCTCTCTCATTTGCCATAGTCCTCACCCTTCCCTATTGTTCTTACCCAGCCCAACAACTTCATTTAAGGTATTTGCCAGCTCCTGTAGGTGTTTCAGTTTTGTTTCTTTGTTTTCTAGCTCATGAAATCAGATACAGATTCAGATAGAGATTTGTCATATAAACTCTGGACACGATGAGGAGGTTGTGTTTTGTAGAAATATACTTTGGGTTGACTCTATTAGGAACCTGAGCAAGGAGGTAACAATAATTACACCTGCCACTTACAGAGCAATTGCTGTGTGCCAGGCACTGTACTAGGCATATATTGAGAAGTCTGATCGGTGTGGATCTAGGCAGGAGGCAAAAAAAAAAGGAGTAAACATAGGGGGGGAAAATTGACTGGGTTGAAACAGCGTACAATAACGGGATTTTTTTTTTTTTTTTTTTTTGCGGTATGTGGGCCTCTCACTGTTG